AGGCCCATTGGGCCTCTTGTTTATTATAACAGGAAGTAAGGACAGAAAGTAAAATGCAATAGGCCAAACCTGGATATATCAAATCATAGAGAATAATTTATAAGGACATAGGTCATCATAACAAGGTTGGAAAATGAATATGATAACCAGGCAATAGCAAAGTAACACCAGATAATTTGATAAATGTCATATCAAATGTGACAAAACCCCATTTCCTAAAATCTATCATGAGAAAATGAATGTGTAATAGCTGCTGCTAATGTCTCTTTTAGTATATTTAGTCTCTGTGCTGAACCAAGCATTCACCAAGATTGATTTCTGGTGATACATTAATTATAAAGAGATGAATTAAAATTTTGAAGAAAAAATGTAATGGTGTAAAAGCTTGGAAATGGGACACTGGTGGAGTGGTGGGCTGACTTACTTCATCATAGATTTAGCAAAACATATTATACATGTCATATTTTTCAATATGGATTGTGGAATAAGCTGTTATTAAAAGTTATTTTGATAAGACCTTATTCTACATGTATATATATATATTTCTAGGTTATCTACTACATCCTACCATGAAAGTAAATATTATCAATATTTATCATTCCTGTAAGTTTGGTTGAAGACCAGGTATAATTACGCAGTATTAGTATAATTTAATGCAGTCATTTATAAATTATGAGATACTGTGAAGCACTACATGTATATAGTCATATTTATATATAATAATACATGTAATTGTAATTTGAATTCTGCATACCAGGTTTTTGTTACAAATCATTAAATTTATTTTTCCTTTTTGTAACAGGAATGTTCTAGGTCATGGATGTTAAGCAGAAAGCCTTACCTTAGGTATGTAAGAAGACACCAGGATAGAAACAAAACTCTGGACAATTTAATGTGAAAAAAAATTCAAATAAATAGGTCCTGTCAATGTGTTATTAATTTAATACATACAATTCATACTACAATATTTAATGTACATACTCCAAAGACAAATATTCCTATCTTTGCTTCTTATTCTGTATTTATGTTTCAAAAATGTGATTTGATTAAAATCAATGTAAGTTTTCAAAATGTGTTTTATTCATTTTTTTCTCTCCCATTATAAAATGACTAAAATACATAGTAAGTTAACCTAGTAAATATTTTAAAATAACTTTCCAAGAATTTATTTCTCTGTGAATTTTCACTCAGGAATTCTGGTTCAGATTCATATTCAGAATCTGATATAACACTTGTAGTTTATTCTCAAATTCAAGATATGTTTACTTGTGTTATGAATGAGAGAGTTCACAGAACTACATTTTATTAGATTCCACAATCTGCATGCATGCCTCCCCCCC